GTGGACGTTGTCTTCATCGTCGTCTTTTACCGCCCTGATGGTTCGATGCGCGGCCTACGGCTGTTTGAGATTGGCGTCTGTTTTCTTGTTTTGGGCGTCGTCGTTTGCTTCTGTATTCAGCTTTCGTTGATTGAGAATACGACCGTCGGTCAGGTGTTTCGCGGATACCTCCCGTCCAGCTCCATCATCCAGACTCAGGGGTATGTAGAGAAGGCCCTCCTGCGATCCAATGGTCGTGCTAACATGTACTGTAACAGATTATATCAGTCTTGTGGAATCTTGGGCGCAACAGTCATGCCTCACAGCCTCCACCTTGGCTCGGGCGTCGTCCAGTCCCGCCTCAAAGACTTTGACATGAAGGAGGGTAACCTCCAGGAACTCCCCCGCTCCGACACAATGACCACCGTCGATAGCTACAACAAGGTCTTTTACTTCCCCTCCATGGCCGCCATAAAGCACTGCATGAAGTTCTCCATCGCCGAGATCGTCTTCTCCCTCTTCATCTTTGCGCTCTTCGTCAACTCGGCCATTCTCATCGTGGCGGGTTCAGCGCTCTACCAGGGCCAGACGTCTCTCGCCTCTGACATCTTCGGTATGCACGACTTACTTGCCAACAGCATCTCCTCCGCTGCTGGGATCATCTTTGCCTTTGCCCTCCTTTTGTCAGGCGTATCCGCGGGCCTGGTATGCACCATCGCCGGCCAGCTCGTCAGCGAGGGAGCGCTCAACTGGCGCATGCGGCCCTGGCTCCGCCGCCTCGCGACGCGCCTCATAAGCGTCACGCCGACCGTTGTCGTCGTCGCCGTCGCGGGGCAGTCCGGGCTCAGCAACGCCTTGACGGGCACGCAGGTCGTGCTGAGCACCGTGTTGCCCATCATCACGGCGCCGCTGATTTATTTCACGTCGTTTGACAAGTACATGACTGTTGTACCCGGCGCCGCGAGCTACGGGTCTGATACGGGCGTCGTGCCGGCGCGGCGGTTTAGTGCTGTTGGGGTGAAGATGGCGAATTCGTGGTGGGTTACGGTGCTTGCTGTTTTGCTTTGGTTGATGATTACTGTCATGGTTGTGGCGAATTTGGTGTTGTTGGTGTTAAATGCTCATAATTGAGCGTTTTTGGTTTTGCTTATGGGAGGAAACGGGGAAAGGTATACGCACATTTTGGACGTTTTGACGACTGATGACTTGATGACTTGCTTGTATATTCGATACTATCATGTATGTAATGTACGAGACAGTTGGAGTGGTGGTGGGATTTAATAAGGGGATGTATAAAGGAGGCGAGCACAATTCTGACATGACAGACAATTTTCAAGTTCACTTCTCTCGATTATATCTTATCTAAATGCTTGTGAGATTCTACTGTCTTTGATTCAGCTCAGTTTTTCGTATGTTGCAGATTTACGAGGACTCATTGTGTATTGCCTACTTACTTACATATGGTACCGAATGTCGGCACAAGATGAGATGTGAATCACGAATATTTGATCATCGACAACTTCCCCTGCCCGGGGAGACGTGGATATACTCGCATTTCGGTCCAACCCTTCCTGATTCTTACATGTCAAAGCAGGATGCGGAATGCCATGTGGGAGATGGCTATGTCGCCGGTCTTTGATGAGATTGTCGATGACAGAACCTCTTCTATCTAGAATAGACTGGAGATAGTTGCGTGATTTTGGGACCCTTCATGATCTTCATCCATGGGAAGAAAATATGGGCGTCAAGGCGGGCTTTCTCTACTGAGATCTTGGAATTGGATCGATTAGGCATATAGGCATGTAGATAGGAGCACGACTTGATAATTTCACTGAGTTTACCTAGTACAGTGAGCCTGCGAGCTTGATGTGTAGACAACGTCGGAAGAGAGCCAGGTCGTTTTTCCTACTTTTGGGCTTGGAGGCGTCATCTGATTAGGCCTAGGACTTAGCTACTTGACTGTGTAAGTTATATTGGCTTCGAGAAGGCATTCGCTTCCATGGGGTTATTACCTTACTGAGTACACTGGCTGTTGACAGGTCATGATCTTCTATGAGAACGACGGAGTCTTGCTCGCTAACTGCTTCTTGCGCGCTGCGCCTGCCACTCCCCCAAGGAGTCTATACACAGCTTGCTTCTGCGATCTGGAAGTTCACCGCCGGATAAATGTCACTATGGAGGCAAATAAGGTAGTCGGTCCTTGGCCAGGGAAACCATATCGGCGGGCGGAGACAGGCTAGATATTGATTGGAGGATCTAGCAAGGGCCGGCTTGCCAGCTCCCGAACGCTTCATGATTAATTTCTGCCACCCAGCCAAGAAACGAAAAAATCGAGATTTGTCTTTTACAACACCCGGAAGGAGCCTCTCTGATTTCTATCGTTTTCCCTCAAACCATTGACTGCGGCATACAAGGAACGAGATTCCCGACACACCTAGATCTACAACCTTTTGAACTTCCTTCTCTTCGCGCCTTGGATTTAGCGGCAGGCTGGCACACTGGGGAAGCGAGCAGCAGCACCACGGACGAAAAAAATAGCTGCCCCATTCTTCCATTTTTGACAGGGGACATAAGCGGTCAATCGAACCTCCCCGTCATCGCAGCCCCTGCATTCCTAGCCGCAAAACGGCTTGGTTCGGCTCAATGGTCTAGAGGTATGATTCTCGCTTTGGGTTCTTGATTCCGTCAAGTCGTCTTCTGCGAGAGGCCCCGGGTTCGATCCCCGGTTGAGCCCCATTCTTTTGCTTTTTTGGCCATCTTAACCTTACCTCTCGACTCTTGTTCTCTTTTGTCGCATCTTACATACACTCCTCACTTTTGTCGGTTTCGGTTCTGAGCCTGGTTTTCGCCCTGGCTGAAGTTGACGTCGTGGTGCATACAAATTATGCAGTAAGTGGTGGTGTGCAAAGGAGTGTGTGTGTGTGCGCCCACCCACGTGCCGACAGATGAGCCAGACTTTATTTCCAAACCTACGGAGTACTTGCATCTTAGCCGTGGAGTCTGCGTAGCAAAACGTCGAACCTCCTGTCAATGTGAGGATCAACAAGCGAGTCGAGATGAGCAACGTCGCAGCGGGACGAGGGAAAAGCAGGCAGGCTTGGCCAGGGCCCCCTAACGATCCATCCGCGCCAATTTCGAGCAATCTCGAAAAGCCCACCGGGCGAAATCGATTATTCGATCCAACCTTTGGTCTTCAGTGGTTCGTACTGATTGTTGCTATTCCCGCTATTCTTTTTTGGGGGATAGCCATCCCGATAATAGATGGCAGAATGAATGATGAACTAGACTACGTAGCGCCTAGGCTGATATGCCCTGGCCACTGGTGCGCTGGGTTGCCTCGATTGTGTTGGACCCTGGTCCTGAATCTGGCTTGAAGTGAAATGACGGCATTCCGTCAGGATTTATGTCTCTCTCTTTAACCCACGCAGGCGACGCTAAGGTATCTCATAGACACACACGCACATCTTGGAAAACCCCCCCAATGTTGGATGCGTCTGGATGCCACCCTGCAGGGCAGAGCAGTCTGCCTGGTCTGCCTGGTGCAGTGAGTGGGATGGGACGAGATGCCTTGGCGAGGGCAGATGCGCAGGATATTGGGATACGGCAGCGGCGGCGGTAGCAGCAGATACGGCGGCAGAAGATGGGAATATTCTTGGCTTGCAGCTGCAAGTGAGCCAGCAAGCAGGCAAGTAACCGACGGCCAGCCAGAGAGGTACAGAGGGCAGAGGAAGGATGGCAGATGGGGGGCAGAAAAGCAGGGTTTCAGCATCCCGTCGAGTGCCCATCCTGTTCATCAAACTTACAGCGGGAATCGATACGAACTGGCGTGCGAATCTCCGATGACGGATGAACTCTGAACTTTGGACTGTGGTCCGTTGGACTCTTTCCCGACTGATGCTTCGTTACGGAAGAGGGCTCGACAGTAAAGTGACTCTCTAGCCCCTACGCCATGAGATATGTTTATCTATACAGACGGATGCCAGGGCAGTCTCTTCTTCGATGAACGGAGGGATCAAGCTCAGGTGTGTGGTGGATAAGGTGCTCTCCACGAGTCTCTCCAGACTGATGGACGGGACTTGACGAGTTCTCGCAGGCTAAGCTCAGATACGTACCGCCGCTACTGGCCCCGTGCATCTGTTAGTGGGAAGGCCGTGCAGCTGCCATCCCTACCACACTTCACTACCTCTTAGTACTGAGCCCAGACAAGAAAGAACCTTACAAGTTCCAGACAATGGAACCCGAGATGGCCAAAGATGTGGTTCTTCCTGATATTCCATTATCTCTACTACTCCAACAAGACGAGAAGCAACACCACAGACTGGCGTTTGTTGGAACAAGAAGGACAGAGAAGACGTATGAGAAGTGACGAGGATCGTCAACAAGTACCTACAGACACAGGCCATGTCCCATTCCCCCGAATCCCCATTGATTGTCACTGCCTCAGCCAGGGAGGTCATGCAGCCCATTGGTTCCCACCTTGATCATTTTGCCTTTGGCTGGAAAGTCCCGGCATGGCATCCTGGGCTCTTCCCTTGGTTGCCCACCTCACCGCCGTCATGCCTCCCACTGCCTCTTAAGGTACTTTATACTGTACGGAGTACATACAGAGAGAGAGAGAGAGAGAGAGAGAGAGACTTATGCCAAGTCCAACGCGTGACTGCCATGCTGTGCTGTGCTGTGCTATACTGTGCTGAGACGAGACCTGAAGACGAGACCCTTCCCTGAGGCCTGCGGTGGGCGTCTATCTGCACCGTCTATTTCCATCCTCTCTGAGAAATGGGAACACCCCCCGGCCCTTGGCCCTTTTTGCCCACCTCATCGTCGGTGGCCTCTTTTTGACTTTCTTGCTCTTTACATAGACCTGCCCTGACCCCGTCGTCGTCCCAACTACATCTCTCCAGCATCCATCGTCGCCGAGTATCGTAGCTCCATCGCCGCAATCGCTTACACACGTACATACATAGCACATACACGACTACACCAGCTCTTACACACACATCCTCTCTCGAAAATCAGCCATCATGCCTGGAGTTCGTAAGTCTGCCCGTTTCCCACCCTTCCCCAAGTTCTCCCCGGTCGTCCTACTGCGAAAGCTGCCGGAGAAGCTATCAGAGCTTCTCAAAGATACGCGACGACGCAACAAATATCTGAGTCAGAAGTGCCAAGAAAAATCACTAACATGCGATGCTTCCCAACTAGCCATCGACGCCCTGGACAACCTCAAGTCCAAGTTCAAGGCCATCTTCAAGAAGAAGGACGAGAAGAAGGCCGAGGCAAAGCCCGCCGAAGCCAAGCCTGTCGCGACGACCACCACGCCCGCTGCCACCGAGCCTACCAAGACTGAAGCTGCCCCCGCCGCTGCCCCGGCCAGTACGCTCCCTCCTCTCGCTTCTTCATGTTCGCGTGAACAACCTCTCGCCAGGTTATCGCCTCAACAAGCTCTTACTGACTGACTACGACACAGCTGAGCCCGCTGCTGCTCCTGCTCCTGCTCCTGCTGCCGCTGCTGAGCCGGTCAAGGCCCCCGAGCCTGAGGCTAAGAAGGAGGATGCTGCTCCTGCTACCACCGAGCCCGCCAAGGCTCCCGAGGCTGGTGAGTCTCCCCAACTACGCAAAATTCACGAAGGAAAAAGATGACTGACCCGATGCGCTTCGCACAGCTCCCGCTGCGCCCGCAGCTCCTGCCGTAGCCGCCGAGGCCCCCAAGGCCCCTGAGCCCGCCACCGCCCCCGCTCCCGCCGCTGCCCCTGCTGCCCCGGCCGCCACCGAGCCCGCGAAGACGGAGGAAACTCCCGCGCCCACCGCCCCGGCCGCCGCTCCCGCTGCTGCTGAGACCGCGCCCGCGCCCGCTGCTGCCCCTGCTCCGGCCGCCGCCGCTCCCACCGAGGCCGCCAAGCCCGAGGAGAAGAAGGAGGCCGCTGCCACCGCCTAGATTGCGCCGTTGGATTTCGGCCCCAACGACTGGTTTCGGAATCACAGTGTCATCTGGTTGAAGAAGGACTAGACTCGACTAGAGGTCAAGGGGCTTGGGTCGGCAGAGGAGCAAGAGAGCAATTGATGCAAGCGATTCAGCCCCGTAACGTCATCTCTCGAACCGCTGTCCTCCACGACGATGACGAAGCCACTCCAGTCACAAGGGGAGAATAAGCGGCACATACATGCAATTGGGGGTTTAGATGGTTTTCTTGCTTTCAGACCGTTGGTCTACTCATGTTCATTTGCTTAATTGTCGGATACCCATTAGTCGAGAAGTTGAATCGAGCGTACTTTCTTAAACTGATATGATATTTGTCTTTTCTTCTCGTCCACGGGCTGTTGTCTCCAGACGCTACAGACACACCGGAGCAACGAAAGCGGTGTATCCACAAGTTGTATCTCCAGGCTATGCAGATATCATTGGTCTCGTTTGACCACTTCCCGGCTCACGTCTTTACCCTTTGGCTTTTTTCAGGTTCCATCTCCACCCATGCGTTCAAACTAACCTCTGCTCAGCTTGAGCCACAATCAGTCGGGGTATCTATTCCATATAACAACTCTTGACATCCTCCGTGTTCCCTTTCACTCTCGTCACTTTGCCCACGGCGCCTTGGTCAACGCAATCTGCGCATCAGCCGTGCCCTGCCTCGCCTCCTGTGCGCCAGGAGGCATGGCCATCATACCCGGCGGCGGCGCCCTCGCCGAAGCCGCGGATGACGGTGGCGGCGGCGGCTGTCGCGAGTAGGGTATTCCCGCGCTACCAGGGGGAGGAGGGGGCATGCGACCTATCGGAACAGCACCAGCACCAGCACCACCTGCTGTCGCCCACGGCGCGGCCGTGCCTGCACCGGCTTGGGGTGGGGGAGGCGCCGTTGTTGCTGGGTAGTTGTACGAGGGCTGGTTCGCGGCGTGGACGGACTGTGATACGGGCGCGGCGTTGGGGTCTTGGTCCCAGGAGAAGAGGGAGCCGAACGTGAAGTGCTGGACGACGGGGAACTTTTGGAGGACCTCTGCGTTGAACATTTTGAGCATGCCCTGGGAGGGATGTCAGTTATTACCCTACACTGGTACGAGAAGAACGTGGGCTTCACCTTATTGATCTTGCCCCAGCCGTCCTTGACGCCAGACACGTCAAAGAGGATGGGACTGTGTTCCCAAAACGGACCCTTTTTCACGTCGTTGATGAACCCGACGGCGGAGAAGTACATGTTCTCGGAGCGCTGGTCCTCGACGACGGCGGGCTTGACAATGTCCCCCGTCTTGGGCGCGCCGCGGACGGAGCCCTCCGTCGGCATCGGGTCCGAGTCCGCGGACACGGGCGCCGCGAGCTGGGCGGAGCCGAAGATGTAGGGGAGGAAGGAGTGGTCGTCGAGGCCCCATACGCCGTGGGATCCTGCTGGCTCGAGGGTGTATGTGAGGATGAGGCGGCGGACGACGCGGAGGTAGGGTTCGATTACGCCGAGGACGATGGTGCGGTCTAGGGCGGATGTGTCTGGTGCTGCTGCGGCTGCGGTAGTTGGTTGGCCATTTTCTGAGTCGGCGACAGTGTTGTTAGTGGTGGTGGTGGCGGTGTCGTCGGCGAAGTAGGAGAGTTTGTAGAGGGAGCCGAGGAAGGCGAGGAAGGCGAGCTCGTGGCCCGTTCCGTAGTCCAGGCGCTGCGCGGAGCCAAAGGAGCCGAGGAGGTACGCCAGGAGCTCGGCGGCGGGCGGCTCGGAGGACGGCGTCGCGGGGAAAGCGAGGACGGAGTCGGGGATGTGTTTGGACAGCAGGGCGGGTGCGCGTTCGGCGAGGAGCTCGTGCCACTTGCGGAAGGAGACGTTACCGAAGCGGCGGGGGCCCGGGTCTGGGGGCGCGAGGTCGATGAGGGCTTCGGCTTCGGCGAGGAGGGCCTGGAGGCGGGCTATGGAGGGCGGGAGGCCGCGTTCGGGTGTGGAGGGGACGGAGGAGAGCGGGTAGGTTGTGGAGGGGCCCGTTGGGCGGGTTGGGTTGCGGCGCGGGCAGAGGGAGCGGTTGAGCTGGAGGAGGAAGAGGAGGATGTCGCGGTAGGCTGTTGTTGTGAGAAAGGTTGCAAGGTCGGTGCCGGTGTTGATGCGCTTGGTGGGGGTTTGAAAGGTGCGCGGGGTCTTTGGGAGGGGTGTGATGGCGGGGAAGGATGGTTTTTCGGGTGGTTTTGTTGATGAGGTTGATGGTGATGGTTTTGGAGGATCCATTTTGGTTTGCTTGTGTGTGTACTCGTGGGTTGGGACGAAAGGGGTTGAGATATTGGGTTGGGTGTGGCTGTGTGAGGTTCTGCTCGCTGTGACTGTGGATGATAGCTTGGAGCTCTAAGCACAACGTCCCGTTGTTTGAGATGATGGAGGGGTGAACATTGTGGAGTGACGACAGATTGTGCCTTAGTCAGCGACCATGACTACAGCGTACAGGGTCTACGAACAATTAAAGATTCTCTCCCGCTTCAAGCTTATTTTCTCCCGAATTCCTGATAGAACTTTCTCCAAAACACACCGAATTGACTTTTGGCTCGAAGCAGACTTTTGGACGTGTCAAACGGACTCACACTTTCTACTACTTGTGCGAGACCGAGACGAGACCGAGAGTATGTATCAAATTGTATTAATTACGTCTATGCTTAGGTTCTATCCAAACCTCGGTCTGTCTGAGCGCCGTCTATGGCCTCCCTATTATGAACTGTATGTACCTCTGGTTGAGCTCTTGGTAAAGGTGTGAAAGAAAAGGTAAAAGTCTGATGACAAGAAGGACTCGGAAATGACTCAATAGCCCTCGTTTCGAAGAGGCCGTCTATTAGATCAAAGACCGCGCGGCCCTGGCGTTGGTGGTACGCCCAGGTTGAATGGTTTGCAAGTGTAAGTCTGTCTCCCTGGGTCGAGGTTGATGGTCTACTTGGTAGGATGGGCTCTACCCTTCTTTCCCGTTTCCTCTATTTTAGTTTGTCGCTCACAAACTGTTTAATCTGGTCGCCGTAGATGCTGGGATACTGTAGATGAGCAACGGGATCATTGCCGTTGCAGCAAAACGGGTCTGCTGAATCACAGAATGACTTGATGTTGCCTCCGTTCGGGCATTGAAACCCCTGAGGTCGTGGTGCAAACTGGTGTGCGTTAGTAGCTGCTTCTTCTCTTTTGTATATTTCTTCCACCACCTTACCCCTTGCGTTTTGCATGTGCCAACCTCGTAAGGAAGGCCAGCGACGTAACGTGGGTCACCCATGAAGATGGCGACTTTCACCGCGCCGAGTGCCTCATTGGAGATGAGAACATTGACGTCCTTGACCCCTTCAATGCTGTCTCCACCACCGCAGTACGCGTTGTCCATGATTTGAGCACCCTGGTTTTCATCAGTCAGATCTGTCTTTGCTAGTACAATGCTAACAGGCAAGACACACCTGAGAAAACCCCAGCATAACAATCTTCGTCTTGGGGCACTTCTTGTTGAAGTCATTCACGACCGTGGCAACAGCCGCCGTCCCATTCTTCACCGAGTCCGCATAGCTGATTCCCAAACAGTCTGACGACCCTCCACATGCGGGATAATTGATGGCCTCGTTCGTGGCCCCCTGATTCGCCTTGGTGAGGTCGTCGACGATGCCAGCCGCGGCACCAAAACCCGGCGGTGCCGTAGTCTCTCGCGCTCCAAAGATATGAATTGGTGGGCAGTCTTTCTTGTCTTGTCTTTGCTGGAGTTGCTGGAGCGAGTGAGGTGAGGCCATAGCCTGGCCGAGAAGGAACGCAATTCCCACACTGAAACGCATCTTGGGCGACGGCGCCGTTCGTCGATAGGACCTCGTGAAGAATCGACCTGAAGGACAATCGACATTAAATCAGTCTTGTTGCAAAGACAACTAGCTGGCATATGAAGAGGGGTTCTGAAAGCGAAAGTACAAAGTCAAAACGAAGAAACGATGATAACAAATGCAAGCCTCGCCGAATGAGAAATTGCCGACCCCGTTTGAACTTTTCTTTAACTCTGAAATGTCAGAAAAAGCCAAAAACCTGCTTTGTAGTTGTAGATTGCTTGATCGAGTAGACCGTTGCTTCCGGCAACAAGATTTATTTGCCTCGTGTCCGGGACGGGAAGAACCTACCTATTGCCCGGCACCTCGATACCCACACCGGCAAGGACGGCCTCATTCTTCCTTGCGCTTCCCATCACAGTTTTGGCGCGTCTGGCCAAGAATCGAGTAAGGACGAAACGGATGCGGTCGCCACCATAAGTCCATGGCAAAAAGAAGCTCCGACACTACATGACGGCATGAAGCTCTAGCTCCGGGAAGCTGAGGGCGGGAACGGGACATGTCGCAGCTTTTCAGACGAAAATAAAAGGCTGTGGGCCTGTGGCTTCCAGTTGCTGAGCCGCATCATGCACGATCGGCACGATTGTTTCCAACTGTTGCCAGGTAGATAGAAGAGACCACTTCAGCTGAAAAAGACCGATGAACGAGTGAGAGCTGCAGAAGGAGATCAGCGTCCGATAGGTTATGGGTGAAACGCAGTGGACTTGGATAGCGATCTGGGTTGGAACACGTCGATGTTTGACATGGACCTCCATGCTCGACGAGTCTGTGTGTTGTTTAAAGAGAGTAAGCTCCCATCTCGGGTACGCTTCGAAGTGGTGTGAGGGTAAGGGTTGCCTCTGCCATGATGCTGGCTTCTTTCGCCTCGTCGGACTACCTTGAACTCATCCGCGAACCTATCACGAAAGCCAAATCTCGAGGAGCCCATGTCAGACCATTGCCTTTGGGCCAGACTCAATGACACTTTGCATTGAAGAGATTCCAAGGTCATAGATAGGGATTGATGAGAAACCTGTTCATGATGCTAAGTGTTGCACTTGCAAGCCTAGTTCTCGTCAAAAACTGTGTTGATGACGTCTTGGCGGAGGATTCGCTCCTGGAAGTCGTACTCGGCTCTAGAAATTTGCCCAATTCGGTAACCATCGGACTAACATGTCCTGCTGCGTTGTAGAAAGGAGTGAAGACATCTCGATCAAAACTTTGAACAAGGTGCCCAATACGGAAGGGATGAGCTATCGTCGGGGAGGAGACCGAGTCAAGTACGAGGAAGGGTGAACATGTGAACCCCAGCGGTGGACGCAGCCCTCCTACAAGATAAGGGCCTCAGAAACCGCATTCGAATGCTGTGGTCATCGGGTTGCTTGTGCATACTGTCGTGAGCACAATCCTTCGAGTTGGTGTGGAACATGCTGACTTAGGAAACGTGAATGTCTCCGTCCAGGGCAGTGTCGAATTGAGGGACCCTTCTTGCTGACTCAGCCGGAAGGAGGGGCCATCGCCGGCCCCGCCTGCGGGCAATAGCAACATGATCCCTGCTCGGAACACGCTCTGGTCGGAAGGCATTAGGAGCGCGTTCCTGTCGCGATACTTCGTCGGTAGCTGCTTCATCCGCGCCATTGGACGAACGACGGATCGTCGACAATGAGACGCCAAGAGCACTGAATATCAATCGCGGTCACGTCGCCTTGTTTGAGAGAATATTCCTCAAGTCGACCTCCTACCTAGGACACAACCGTATCTCCGGTCGAAAGACGGCGATGCCGGCAGCCACCAGGAAACGATCTGTTCGGCCGGCGAAGAGCCAAGCTGCGGGAGGTAGCGAGAGGGCCATACCGACCAGCAGCATCGATAAGGTTCCGGCGGGAACCCGGCGCAGCAAACGTCTCGGTCACGTTGATGTGGAGGACATTAGGGATTTTGAGGCTATACGAGTGAAGAGAAGACGAAGAAGTCAGAAGGATGCGGAGGAAGAAGATCAGGTGGACGTAGATCAAGGCAGCGTCGAAAAAGATGGCCAAGGAGAACGAGACGAACAGACAACAGGAGATGATCCAGAAGAAGAAGATGAAGAAGTAACAGACGACCAAAGCGAAGGTGCAGCTCTGCCATTGGTAGCGGAGGCACCGATGGAAGCACAAGTAAGCTCAAGCCATTCCAAATTACTTCAAAAAGCTTACAATTTGATCCTGCAGATTGCCAAAAAACGAGGACGGCCGAGAAAGATACGTGAGGATCTCCGGGTAGATACATTGCGTAGGGAAGCAACGAATACCCATCGTACGAACGCAAGCCGTGCCAGAAAGGGGCAGATAACTCAAGAGTCCAGTCGACTCTCGAGAACGAAAGCGACGAAACTAAGTGAAGGCTTTCTGAATACCGACGCTTCTCAAGCGACGCCAGACCCAGATAACGAGGACGAACCTGCCGCTGCTGCAGGCCGCAGAGCGGATATCTATGAGTTTGCGAGTAGCCCACCTAGAGGGTCTGCCGTCGCAGTCGACCTTTCAATATCATCATACGAAGAGGACGAATCGTCCGGTTCGCGATCTGATTCACAAGAATCTGATTCACAAGACCCAGACAATGGGGATGGACTGTTTGTCGAGCGCGAGACTCAGAACACAGACGGGGAGGGCGCTGAGCAAGGCTCGGCGCAAGGCTCAGAAGAAGGCGACGGGGATGGTGATGATGATGAGCAACTCTACAACGATCCAACTATGGCTGAGTTGCCGCCGTCTGCACAAGTAAGGGGGGATGATGCCTATCCAGGGGATACCGACTCCCAAATGGAGCCACATCCAATAGAGCCAACGCAGCAGCTTCGACGTTTGGTTGATGATATGGACCCTTTGACTCCTGACCTCTTTCCGGAGGTTGATTACGAGTACCCGGACGATCATTTCATCTTTCACAAGCCCGAAGAACAAGACCGACTGACCGCGGCGGCAGTCAAATCACCGTCATTGAAGAGCATCAAGGAGTTGATGAATGGGGTGGGTTGGATGCGCTCCAAAGACGGAAGAGCAGTTGACCTCACAACTGGGCCGGCGCAACTCTCGCAGAGAACTCAACCTCTCTGGGACCGCATTCACCTACTCAACGATTTCTGGGAAGGAGCACCTCGTGCGCCCCTCTTCAGTAAACAATGCGACTATTTGCATTCGAGCGATGCAGATGCGGTCGATGCCAGGCACACCTTCAAGGAAGTCGACACACTTGTTTATAGGATAGCCACGAAAGCGAAGAAGCCCAGCCCCGGCGACGAATCTGACATGCCGGCGCCACGTTTCGTTAAGGAGCTGTACGAAAGTGTCATTCCTTTGCTTGTGGTCACGCTTGGAAACGTATTCCAAAAGGGTACTGAGCACAATACATCACATTACACCGGGTCGTTCACGAAAACGATGTTGCAAATTATGCACAGACTGGTTGCTTGGATTGAGAAGCTATACTATGGCATGCTCTCAAACCTTGCGAGGAGGAGGCAGAAGGAGCAATTACTATCCAAGAAGCTCAGTCGAGGGAAGCTGGCCGACTATTTACGAGGCTTCAAGCGAGAGCTGGATGTGACTTGGACCAAGGTCAATCACACGATTCAGCGGCAACGACTTTACGAACAGCGGTTCGTTGAGAAGAAACAGAAGGAAAAGCGAGAGCGGCACGAATACGAAGAGACCAGACGACGACAACGGGAGTTTTGCGATAGACGACTGGAAGAGCGGATTGCAGCCGAGAAAGCACGCAGAATGGCAGGCTCCCCGCAACAGAGTCAACAAAGCATGTACGAGAGACAGCAGGCTGGACCAGTGAATCGTCATCTACATACTACGCGAGGATCGGTGAATGTTGAGCCCTTTGCCTGGCCTGAAGCAGATGCCAAGTGGCTTCTACAGACGTTGTCCGCAAGACCAGACGCTGATACTCAAGCGCTCGCAATGATGCTCAAACGCGACGAAGGCGATGTCATAGCTATGATCAGCTTGCTTAAGCAAAGCGCCAGGGCACACGCAGCATCGAGAGGCAAGGAGGTTCCGGCATTTGCAGCAACTTGAGCTGAGAAGTGCCGACTTGTTGAGATACACTAGCTGCGAGTTTATTGTCTTTTGAGGATACCCACACATTCCTAGCGAGCGTCTCAATATCATTATTCCGGGCATATGAGAAAGCCTCGATTTATCAAGTTCGATCATGTCTGCGCGCAGGGTTTCGCCTAATACCTCACCTCACGCGTAATCAGCGGTGATGACTCGCAATCAGCGTTTCGGATGATGCCAATTATTACCAAACCGTTTCCTCTATGCGGTTGCAATTAGCGAACAGCATGAATCATGCCCCAATCACCGGTCAGAACAGCAGCAATTTTGACACGAAGGCTCTGCTGGAAGATTTGACCATGGAGAGACGATATCACGATACGACGTCAAAATGACGCCGTGAGGTTGTGTCTTCTTAGCACGGAGTTAGAAAGGGCTATAGCAGGATCCGGAAACGGCATAGGTGAGCGGCCACAGTGTAGTCTGTGTAGTGTCGATTCCCTCTTCTTCCCACGTGGGCACCTCCGATCCGATCCCACCTGTTCGTGTCATTGGGCTGGGGGGCCGGGCAAAGGAAACGGACGGCCGGCGCAAGGGGGCGTGGGAAACAATGGCCATAACCTACACAGTGAGAAGCAGGAGACGGGATTGAGAAGGAGAGGAAAGGCGCCCATAGCTCCTGAACCTCTGGAACTCCTCAGGCTCCTCTGGTTGCGGCGGCCGCCAGAACACGCGCAAAAACATCTGCCGAAGATTTTGGCTTCGGGGGGGGCTGATAAGCCACGTAAGGCGACGCCGTGACACTGGGGCCCGTTGGTTGGGGCTTTTGGGAGGATGGGGGCACGACTGGGGTGCGCTGGCCGTGGGGCCTTCGGCAGATGGTTTTTGGGAGGAGGATTTGAAAGAGCGGGAGATGGAGGACGAGGGTTGGTCCCTGGAAGGGTTTGGCGATGTCTCACTGAGAAGTAATTGTCAACTGCAGACAGCCTTCTCGGTCTCTGTTCCTCGTATAGTGAGATTAGACATTGAGAGATGTGTCTGGTTTCGATCGCGAGAGCGAGCAATCGCTTGACTTACTTGGAGCGGGTGAGAGTAACGAGCTGGAGATCAAAAAAACAAGGGAATAGTTCAGCTCGCTAACATCCAAGAGACAATCCTCATTCATGAGCCCTTGAACTAGGAGATCCGAATTCCTTAACACTAGAGACACTATGGAATACATGATCTGTTTTACTCTGAACCGCCGAACCGGCGACTTTCCCCCGCGAACGATGGCACAGGCCACTGGGGTAGCATTTAGGGCGGCGCGACGGCGCACAAGCGTGCGGTTCTTTCGGCCTTCGACACGTGAGATGGAAGGTTGGTCTACTGTGCTAACACGGTAGGGGAAGTTGGATCCAGACGACGGCCCTACTTTTGGCTTTTGGGCTTTGGAGCGATCAACAGAGCTGGCCGGATCATTTACCGAAGAAAACCGAATCTCGAGGCTACTTTTTTTTTAGAACCGGGTTGAGTCACTGGTTAGTGTACAGTATTGAGGCCTGTAGTTATTGTTTCTAACTTCTGTTCCAGCTTCAGTCTGACAGTCTAGAACTGGGCGGTAAAACAGTCCAACTCTGGGTTGGTTTTCCACTCTTTGGTGTAACAAGTATCTTCACTCGGTGTGATGTAAATATGCACTGTTTGTGGTGTTTTATACAATTTTGGAATTCTTTCGCCGGGTCGTTCCTGACTGGGAACGCCTCAATCTGCACAAACGGGCAAGAACTTTCTTTTTGCGACACTGTTCGAAGAAGCAACAAGACGTCAAGCTCATGTGCTGTAACCCAACCACTTCATCTCAGGAAATACAATGTGCCATCCCTCGGCTACTATGCACTTATGGTACCTAATCCTTGCGGCGGTAAGGCGTCACTGGGCGATGCATGTGCGGGGAACCCTTGAGTTGTCAGTGAAGCCAGGTGTCCGGGGCGGGAGCGGGTATGCGGCGCGTGGTTGGGGGAGGAGGTTCCAGAACTGCTGGATGAGAACAGGAGACTCCGACGAGAGGGCCGATGAGAGGGCCGAGAGAAGCCGGGCTATTCGGGGGGCGGAGGATAAATGGGCGCCGAGGCCGAAGCCTGGAGAAAGGCTCGTACGCGTACGAAGATCGCAACTGTGCCGTTCACTTCGCTAGGGAGTGTCCATACGAGCATGTCGTTTCCACAAGCTCGTGCTTGTGAAGGCTCCGTGTCTGCGGTGAAAACAAGGTATCATGGCATGAAGGGGAGGGTCCGGCGCCTGTCTCTCCCTCCTTTCGGGGCCGAAAGCGTTTGACCGTCGCCCCGGCACCAATCACGTCTCATTCCAAGCGACGCTGCGTCAGGGACCAAGAAGGCTACTGCGTTGGTAGGGAAGGGGTTCTCCCTGGATCAACCCCATACGTGGAGCCCTGTGATGTCTTGGACTACGGGAGTTGGGATGGACTCCGGGCCAGAAAGTCGGCAAATGAAAGTCGGATCGAAGTCGAGCTTGGATGTCTCTGATTGCTATGGAATTATGAGTTCATGATCAGTAATGAAGGCAAACATTTCTTGTTCTTTCGCCCGTCTCGGCGATGTCGGCGAGCCAAAGGAGTGAGACACGTTGACAAAGGGGACTGGATATATTTCCTATGTATGGATAGCAAGAATGGGTCGGTATCATGGTCTGGTAGGCCGAGGATTTGTGAACAAAGGACTTCTAATTGGGGAGAGTATGGCTCTACTGTATTTGCTTGAGGCTGTCCAGACCCAAAACAAGACCAAGATCGAGACCATGGGTTCTTGAAACAGCAGCCATGAGTGAGACTGAGAATGAGAGTGAGAGTGAGACTCACAGTGAAAGAGAGAGAGGGAGAGAGCCTGACAGAGCAAGTGAGCGCATTTACAACTGCCGTGCCCCCCACCAGATGCCTTGGCCATGTCATGCCTGTTTCCAGCATCCTACGGGGCCCCTCCCCCGCAGATAAGGTACCCAACGGTGGGTCGGCGCGCCGCCCGGTGTCTTGAGAGTTGCGCAGCTTACCGCCGACAGAATGCTGCAACTTGCAGCTGACGGGATGTCTTGAGGAGTGCTCCGGAGCCTGGAGCACTGAGCAGTCGGTCGAGCAATTGACTACTCCGTAGAGCATCGAAAGCAGACATGGGGGAGGCGGCTCCATCTTCCCGTTTCTGCATAGCTCTCTTCTGCACCTCTTCCGCCTCCGACGTGCCTTGTCTCTCGAGTCTCGCGGGGTTCGTTCTGATGCGGCAGTAATGCGTCTGGATATCATACGACTCCAGCCAAGCCTCGGATAACCCGAATCAGCGCTCTCTGTTCTCGATCAGGATCGTATCCTCGGGGCCAACGCTTTCAGTGAGCAGTAAGGTATGGTTAGGCGAGTGCCCGCACTTGGGACGAGGGCCCTCGAGTTCTCGACAGAAATATGAGAAATGCATCTGCCGAAGATTCCATCACTCATGACTAACCTTCAGCATCCTGACCAAGGTGTCCACCACCCCTCCATCACCTCCATCTGGGCTGGGGGAGGGGGGGCCCTTTGGCGGTAACTCTTCCTCGCAGACCTCATTCTGTCTTGTGGGTGTCCGTGTCCTTGCCAACACGAGCGTTGACGTTGAGGCTGCTTCGGCAGGCAATCGAGCCCCTCATTCCAGCTCTGGTTGACAGCTGACCTGTCTCGCTGCGAGTGCGACCCCCCGGTGGAGGAGGACCATGATGGCGCAACATGAATGATGACAATGACAGCGTCGACCTGCCGTGACTCGTTGCTCAGAGCATCATCCGGCTCGGTCCCTTCGGCAGCGGTCACACACACTCTCTCTCACCATAGGAACCAAAGACGACGGACGGCGGGCTTGAACTAGGGTCCCTCACCCCTACAGGCTCCTACCCCAGGATCTCTCATGACTTGGCTGGAAATCCCTCGCGCGCAAAGTGGGAGCTGAACATGCTGTACCACTCATACCAGAACATCCCGCCGGTGTCATTCTGCGAGCCTCTGAGTGGCCACCGCAAGCTGCGGTACCTGAGACCCGAGCTAGCGTCGAAGAGCTTGCTGCGTAAGGTGTGGCATTCCATTTGCTCTCGTCTTCTCTCTTTCCCAGGACATGACGTTGGGGGCTCCCACCTGCACAAAGTACCCCGTCCGCGTATCTTGAAGTCTGAAGTCTTGATTTCCTCTGGTCGTCTGGGGGCGATTCGATGGGCTGCTTCTTTCCGTCTAACCTCTAGTATACGGCCACGGCTACGGCTCTGGAAACAGACGCCGGCGCCTTTGGGGCCACACTCTCTGCTGATGTTTGCCTCCCTCTTGGACTTGTCACACTGTCCGACTTCTGCTCTCTTGTTGGACCGGACGACTCGCTCCATCCTCAAACGACCAGCCAACGACCCGTCTACCGAGCTACTGTTTTAGCACACGATTCTAGTACACCACGATTAGTGATGAGTGTAATCGTCAACGTCTTCGTCTTCCGAAATCGCGTGGCCTTGAACGCCGGACGGTTGGTACAGTCCTAGTCCTGGTCACCCCGAACGGCACCTCTCGGCGTCGACTATCCTCACTCATCTTCGTGTTCTTCCAGCCTCTTCCGTGTGGCTTTATCTTGCAACAGCGAGTCTGTGACACCTTTCCCTCTCTCGCCGCCGCCTCACCCTTCGGCACGGCGCCTACCATTACCGCCTTCTTGTCTCCCCCGAGTTCCTAGGTTCTCTCCAATTTTTCCACATTTTTTCCACTTCGGATCCGCCAGTCCCCCAACCCATATCCCAGAAGCGCAAACACCCTTGCGAAATTCTAACTTTATTCTGTTCCCGCCCTCTTGTCTTGTCTTGTCTTGTCTCATCTCGCACGAGACTCTGCGCCGAATGTCCAACGCTCTTCCCCTCGGCCGTGGAGACTAAGGTATTCATAGTCAGACACTAGGTATCCGTAGGCAGAGGATACCTCGTCAAGGGTTGGAAACCTTCTCAAGCTCCTAGCCATCCTCCTAGGCTCTTCTCAGTTGCCCCCATTCCCTTCCCCCCTCCACTTACTACTCTCCGAGCTTCGTCCTACCTTGCAGTTACGCGGTGCCGTCTCGTCTTGGCTACATTACTGGCGGTGCCCATAGATCGCCGAGAGGTTCCCAATAATTTACTTGCCGACCTGCCGCCCCAAAACCAGACACACACACACATACACATAACACGAAAAAGCTAAGCGCATCTGCCATCTCGACGTGACGCCTGGTCCTCCTTGACTCCACCCCGCCGAGGCACAGTCCGCAGGACCTGCACGTCGACCATACGGCATGCCCCCTCGCATACCTCTTCCTGTATGCCCCATAGGATCCGGTCGACACATCCCAACATAGAAACTGGGTAAATTGCACTTCGGTACCTGAATCGGGAATTCCATTTCACGCCCGGCTACATCTACTTGGATCCACCCGCTTGGAGGTTTACCTTACAGTCTTCTTATACCGAGGGTGCCGCCACCAAGACCTTTCTCGCTGCGTTTTGTTATACTCAACGGCCAAGCTCCGTCTCATGACAACACAACCTCAGTCAAGATGCACGGCATTACAGAAACGATACTAGAGACGTTCGCACAGCACTGGCTCTCAATAGGCCTGTCACTTATTGTAGCCTGGCTGGTGAAGAACCGCTATAACAATGGCCTCAACAAGTACCCAGGACCCTTCCTGGCCTCATTGACAGACTGGTGGCGCTTCTTCGATGTAAAGGGTTGCCGTCCAGAGGTTACACATCAAAAGTTGCACGCAAAATATGGTGACGTTGTCCGTCTCGGCCCCAACACTCTCTCCTTTGCCGACCCAGCTGCTTTGAAGAGCATCTACGGCCTGAACAAGGGCTTCGTAAAGGTAGAGTCCATATGGTTATCTTCACAACATCTACAGCAACTAACCGTCTTAGTCCGACTTTTACATTGTCCAACAGTCTATTGCCAAGGGCTTCAGGCTCGAGTCCCTTTTTAGCACGACAAACAATGACTTCCACTCTCAGTTCCGCCGTTGCGTCAACTCGGCCTTCTCCATGTCCGCCTTGGTCCAGTATGAGCCCTTTGTCGACAACACGACGAAGCTCTTCCTCTCTCAGACGGAGAAGCTGTTTGCTGGAAACCCCGAGGGATGTGACTTCACCACGTGGTTGCAGTTCTACGCATTCGACGTCATTGGAGAGATCACCTACAGCAAGCGCCACGGCTTCATCGAGAAGAATGAGGACATTGATGGAATTGTGGCCTACCTGGGCAAGCTGTTCCTCTATGTCGCACCGGTAAGTCCATCCAGAGTATCACTGGAGCTACTCCGAGACAACTAGCTAACATGTCCAAAGATTGGCCAAATCCCCTTCCTCGATCTCCTGCTCCTTAAGAACCCAATCTACCTGAAGCTCTCCCAATGGGGCTTCATCGACGCCACCTTCCCCGTAGCCCGCTTCGCCCGCGACCGCATGGCCGAGCGCCTCCCCGAG